TCTTTTTGGGGAGGGGTTAAATGACTATTTTACAGGGATCACCTAGAACCATCAGAAAACACAGTCATTTACATTACAATTCAAAACAGTAGCAAACAATTTTGTTATGAAGTAGCAACAAAAATAATTTTATTGGGGAGGGGGGCTTGCCACAACATGAGGAACTGTATGAAAGAGTCGAGGCAGTAGGAAGGTTGGGAATCACTGTGACAGAGTCTGCAGAAACTCCCCTGTCATAACAAAAGGAAAGGCTCTTCGTGAAGTCATAACTCTCACAGCACAGGGTTAATTTTATCTTTAAATTCAGTTTATTTTATGCCAGAAAATCACAATACACACAACCAAGTCTTATGTACAGACTTGGAAAACAATGCCCCCCCTTTTTTAAAAAAAAAATCGAATTTGAGTTTTAAAAAGGAAACATGAGTTCTTGAAGTTTACAGTGAACTTATTAAACATTTCCTACAAACCAAGCACTGCTGAGTTTCAGGCAGAGGTGGGTGGGTGAGCAACACTAAGCAACTCAAGCCTAGTCTGATGCCCACCAGCATGTATTTAAAAATCACTCTGGCCATACACATCTCTGGGGCAAAGAACACATGAAATGGTCGGTCATGATGACCAGTCTCTGGAAATTGTTATTATTACTAGTTTCTATTGTCTTCAACAACTGTCTGGTTTCTAAAAATTGTTATGGGTTACCCTGCTCCAGAGCACCCAAGTTTTGAAAATAAGTATAAGTCACTCTGTTCCCAGAAAAACCACTAGCTGTTCCATGGCCTTGCAGGTGTAAAAACCAAAATAACATTCCAAACTCCTCGTGGGCAAAATTTAAGTTCAGTTCCCATCCAACCAGTAAATGAATCATGTATGTTATAGCCAATCAATATGTTATCATACTCTTGCCTAGTGACCAAAAAGACATAAAAACTGCCTGCTTTGGAAACTCAGCGTGCTGGATTTGAGGTGTTCATGAAGCATTCTAAAGGAGACGCTGTGTGAATGGGGACTATGCTTCCTACAGCTGAGAAAGTATACAGGAGAAAAAGGACAGTAAACGAAGCCATAAGGATGAGGGGAACTAAGGAGAGAAGAAAAGAGAAAGAATAGAGTCAAGGCTCTCGGCTGTTAAGGAATTGGGTCAGTTGGAGAGTCCAGAAGATAAACCAGCAGAAAAACTGGCCCAAGCCAAAGGAGGGCAGTGGAGAAAGGAGAGAGAGACAGGAAGGGTCACAGAGTCAGGCAACAGAGGAGAGTGTGGCAGATGAATTCGGTGGGTCCTGAGGATCCTGCTGATGGGACTGAACAGAGCTCCAGGGGGCGCCATACCCCAGGGACATGGCCCCAGGGGATGGCATGGTGGGCAGAGTGACATCCCAGAGGGTGGGGACACCGTCGGCCGGCCGGCCGTGGCGCTCACAGCAGCCCGAACCGCCGAGCCTTCCTCTTTTCGGGTGGTTCCCTTCGGAGGAGACAGGAACCCCGGCTGCCCCCGCTCGTGCCCCTGCCTCCTCCGGCCCCCAGGCCAGCCCCTGTCCCTACCCGCTCCGCCCCCTGCCCGGTTCCCCAAAGTCTCAACCCCCCAAAGTACATCCTTTACTCCGGATGCGGAGTAGTTCTTTAGTTATGGACGATCACCCACCCAGGAGTGGCGCTTTTAAAAACAAGTATTTGAGTAAATTTCCCTTTAACCCAACCTTAGGGCTTGCCAAGCTTCTGGCAAAGTCACACTCTTGGAGCAATGGTAAAACCACATAACTGGAGTTGACAGCCGTACCTGGACCTGGAGGAAGTCAGAGAGGTCAGACGGTCGAGTCTAAAACATTTGTACAAAGAAGAACAGTTCGTGGGTCTATTTCTCGTATTTGGTTTTGAGGCATGGATATTTAAATCCCTGTTTAGAGAAAAACAGTGACATTGTTTTTGTAGACTCTACCTACTATGGAAGCCTAACATCCTTTAAAGGGAAAATTTAGGTCCATTAACGTTTGTTTGAGCAAAGGTCACTGGCAGCACTCATTATAGAAAGCTCAGAAGTTAGAATCCTGGGTAGTGGCTCTTTTACGGGCTGAATCTGGAAGAGGAGTAATTGGTTGGCAATGGATAGCGGTTTACATTTTTGTTTATGAAGTTGGCTGGTTCTGATTGGCTAAGTAAGAATCCAAGGCACTCACTCAGCTGCTTCAGTCTGAACCTCCCCCCGCCATTAAGTGGCTTTATAACAATCTGATTTATTGTGGCCTTCAATACTTAGTGGGTGACTTAGTATTTGTGAGCATTTTGAATTACATACAAAGAAACAAAATTATGTTCATTTATCTATTAGTAGTAAATGAGGCCTTTTCTGGCTTTTTGTCATTTGAAAGGGGAAG